ATTATATTAACCACGCGACAATATAAAACGCGACGTAAGATTAAACGTATTTCTCTGGCAAACCATCGTGCAACGTAACGAGATGCTTCAAAGCTTTCTCGGTAATTTCATAAGAGAAATCGAATTTATTTCGTGAACGCAAGAAGAATATATATAAAAAAAAAAGGAAGAAAAGACGCGAATAAAGAGCGTAAAATTCGCACGAAACACGTAAAAATAAATTAGGCCGAAAGATTCGACGATTTACAGTTTGCGAGCACGAAACCGCCGCGAAACGTCCACTCGTCGATGCGAATCCACTCTACAAGGTGCTCGTGTTACACTTGCAAAAAACGTGCTGCCTCGAGTAACGCGGCACGTCGTTCCCTTTACGTATTTTCGCTTTGCATATCCAGGGACGGGCTTAAACGGTCCCCGGAAGTTTCCCGGAGACTTCGTCACCTCATTTTCATTCGTTCGCGGAAACAGTGTCGCGCAAATAGGTGGCAACGCTCTGCCACTCCGGTTCCTCACTGCCGTCGCAGATAATTACCGTGGTAGCCGGCTCGCAAACAAATTACAGGTGAGCCACTCGTAAGAGCCCATCTCTTGATACCACTGTCGACAAAAGGTCGCATAATACAGCTATACGTAACTTTAAAACACTCTCGACAAGAAAATACTGGAAATGTAAGGAAGGATATCAAATTTTTTCTTCCACCATGTATAAATTTAGCGTTGTTAAATGCTCGCGAACGTATAAAACGAACTCTTGAATGTAGTTTCAGTCTTTACGTCGACGATATACGGTATACTGTGTCCATCTCGTAACAACGAATAGACTGGATTCTATTCGATATCGAAATTACCCACGAAGATATCTGAACGCTCTTGTTTCTCGTAAAAGTCGCAATTCTTAAAATTCTTGAGATTTCTTTCAATATGTTACGCGTAAGAACGAGATCTTCCGAAACACGAAGATAGAAAGACAGTGAAAACTTCTCTTTAATTGTCACGTTTTGTCTACAAGTTAAATTTATAATATTGTTTCCAAATATTTCTATGCAATTGCTCTTCTCTACGGTATCTATACTACCCACTGATTTAACAGAAAAGCGTTCTTATTGTTTCGTATTTATTATTTGTTTCGTATTATTATTTCCCTCGTATTATTTTCCACGAACAGATGCAAGCGTAAAGTTCGATAAAACAATAAAAAGTTGTATAAAAATTTCGACGGTTCTCGACGTACCCACAGCCGGCTTCGCTTCGCTTGGCCCATTCAAGGCCAACTACTGCTACGATCTGTACTCTACACCCACGCGTTCAGCCAACATCAAAACGCAAAACAAACTCCGTGACGCGCATCGCGCAGCATTTTTGTGGAATATTTTTACAGGAGATTCGGAAACTCGGCTTACCATGAGCGTTGTGGCTGCGGTCGACAGCGCGGCCTCGGTCGGCCGCGTTTGCTTGAAAGCTGCCGAAGTTTGTCGACAAACTTGGCAGACCATCGCGTGGCTGTCCGTCGCCTTTGAACCGTGAAAATCGCGCGAACAATGGAACCGCGAACTAGTCGGAAACGGAGCAGAAAGAGAAGGAAACAGGCGCGACCGAGGACTAAACAGGGAAAGAGAAGGAACGACACGGAAACTGACGAAACCGAGCTGGAGACACGCTGGAAAATGGACGAAAACTGGAATTCCCGGGGAACTTTGCCTCTTTCTACGCGGCGATATACTTTCCACGGAGTTTAACCCGCTGCTCGCCGTGCGACGAACTCGTAATTCCGCCACGGCGTATGTCAGACCGTTGATCCACCTCGACCCACTTCGACTTTGGTCCCTTCTGTATTTACGACCTCGTCAACCGACCGGGCAAAACTTGTAAGCGGCTCTGGAGATTACGATTTTTCCACGTCTCCGTATCCCTTTGTCCGGGTTGCTCGAAAAACGAAAAACCATCGTCTATTGTCGGGATGATCCCGCCGCGGCTGCAAGTTTCATCGGTGGAAAGTGTTATTGTTAGAGAACACCGATCCTCTGGCATTACTGACCGCGTTTCTGCTGATCTTCTTGGATTCCTGAAAGGAGTTTGTGAATCGTAGGATGTGCCAGAGAAGCAGCTTTGGGAAATGTACTACTCGTCAGGCTAGAAAATCGATGGACCAAATCGAACGTTGAGTTTTGAATTCCCTGTGGTTTGCCGATTATACAAACCCGATAAGTAAACGGATCTTTCAAGAAGGCGGTACGCGAAGATGGTCTTCTGGATGAAACGTTAGGGATTGAAAGCAAATGGAATGAAAGTCGGGACAAATGAATCGTCGTTAGCCTGATCGGATCGATCCAAGCCGATACAAACATTTTCCTAACGACGTCGAAACGATAAAGAAAAAAAAAAAAAGAAATCCGGTAAAGTAGTAGCTATCGCAACGAAATCATTCTCACGGTACGTTAACTTGGGAATTGCACTCGCAAACTTTCCAACTTGAAATCGTAAATCTAAATCCGGACAAAACTACGATATACTGCATCTCATCCAAACCATTCAGACGCGCCATTATTCGATACCGAACGCAGCTAAAACCGAGAGCGTCACTCGCACAAACGAAACGCGGCAATAAATCGCGAATTTCCAACGCATTCCACGACTGTCGGCCATTTCGAAGATCAATTTCAGGAAGCACGCGAGAATGGGAACGGGAAGGTATACGAGTGTAGCGTACTGGATAAGCATTAACTCGCTTCGGCCTCGCCTTCTCGTCTACGTGGTTACTTTTGTTTCAGGAATCTCAGGTCTCAGGCGGAGAGAAAGCTGAAAGGTGACTCCGGTTCCGAGACACGCGTAATCTTATTTGCACGTTTCTAGGGCTTCTCCGTGTCTGAATTTTCCTCGCCGCAACCAACCCTAAGCAGAATCAAGCACTCTGTCGGTAATGCATCACAGTTGGCTTTAATCGCGAGACGCATACGACGGAAAATTTCAGCCACTTAGATATCCGCGTGGCTTCTTGCCCGGTTTTTCGTAAAACTAGCTGATTGGGACGAAGCTTCGATGGCGTTACACGTCGATAGTTACATATGTCGATAATGATATCGATAGTAATCTCTTACTTTCAATGCGTTTCAAGAGATCGATCGATGCAGAAGAAGATGATACACGGTATCGTATTTACGCGTCACTGGGTAATTTATACAAACGATACATCCTCTATCATAGATATCCTGGTATCGTCGAAAAGAACTAAGTTTGTCGATATCGAACGTTAATGTCAAGATACGTCGTTTCGTAGAATGTCGATAATTAAAATAAATAACCACGTCGAAAGGTCCTCGATTTTTAACGACACTTGTCTCAACAGGAGCGGCTAAATCGCGCGTAATCGATGAAATTGCCGAGTACATATCCCTGCTAATTAAAAATTGCGCAATTTACAAACTTGAAAACTCGTTGGTCCAGGCTTTGCTATGAAATCAGGCACATCGTGTACGAGACCTATCCAAGTATATATATATATATATATATATATATATATATATGTGTGTGTGTGTGTGTGTACATATATATATACGTGTTTGGCGAGATTCGCGAGGACGAGCAAGTTTCCCTTTGAGGTTGGTCGAAGCTCGCAAAATGATGCTCGAAACAAACAAAGGCAGACTTTTTCCCGGCTGTGGACAGGTGGCGAAGTGGCGCGCGGCTGATTAGCGACCCAATTACCTAATGTAACGAGCACAGGAGGGAACACGGTGCACCGGAGTTGGACGCTTGACAGGCTGACGATTAAAAATGAACGCTAGGCCAGGCCCGTTCTCCGGGTGTCTCTTTGAAATTGCGCGCGATCCACGCCAACAAAGAGGGGAAATGAAAGTTCAACTTAATTATTTTCGCATTAGCTGCAAGTAACCGCGGTATCTGGTGCGACACAAAGGGTAGCCGAGCCTGGCGGCATAGCGTCGTCGTCGAACGAAATTCCCAGAGCTTTTAGCGGCCATCGGATTAATCCGCTCGAGGCCGATATTTTCCCCCGAAAAACGATCACCGCGACGTGAAACGCCGCGGCAAAGCTTCGTAGAGGGGTGACTCGCAAAACGGGAAAAGGAAACGGAGGAGAAGAAGCGGAGGTGCTCGCGAAGAAGGAGCATTGTGTAACTCACTTTCGAGTAATAAACGCCCGCAGCGGCGGAAGTTTCGCGGCGAGTGCCGCCTTCAGAATTTGCCGCGGTTAACTTTCGGCGAGCTCAAATAATTGCGTTCGTTCGAACGGCAAACGTTGGCCGCGCCGTGGAAATAATTCGATAAATGCGGGAGAAACCGTGTCCCGAGGAGTAGGGTACAGGAGTCGGTCTTTAATGATAGCGAGCGCTGCTGGTACAACGACGTTAAACCTTATATTAAGTATCGGAATTTTTAATTGCTTATCGCGCTTAAATATCGGAGTTGTTGAATATCGAAAAGCGGAATTTCGAAATATTATCGATCGAAGTATCTGGAAGTTTAAGCCAAAATGACAGAAGGATCGAAAACGTGGCGCAACAAATAAACAATTATGTTTAATCGTAAGAAGCGACGTTTATCTCGCGGAACGTAACAGTTTCGAGACGTCAAGGGGCTGTATTCTGTAGTATCACGACGCGTCAAACAGTAACAAAGATCTTAATCAACGTCGCGCAAACAATTCCTCAACGATTTAAGCTAAATCGGATAAACGCTCGTGGTTACGCTTAGCGACTTTGGCGTAGATAGCACGTCGAGAAAGAAGATTCCTTCGGGAACGGAACAAAGAATCGCGGAAGAAGGGTGTCCGGGAAAGCGAGCGGAAGAGCGAGCGTCCCGAGACGAGGCAACGCAAGGGAAGAGAAGACAGACGCGGCAGGAAGCAGGAGAAAATTTAATAACAATTTCTCAAAATGAGAATTAGCCGCTTTCAAGCATCGTGCGGCTCCGAAGCCGGCTCCCAACGGCTTTTCCCCCTCGACGTCTATCCTCGCCGCAACGGGCCGGCCTGCATTTTATTTAATATTAGCCCTGTTACCGGGTTAAATTGTCGGGCGGAGAGCCGAGGCCCTGGAATTTGCATCTTAATCGGACCCTATTACGGTAACGTCGTTGCAACGGTTCCAGTTTTAGGTTGGCCGTGGCCGGCATCGCGCCTGACCACTCGACGAAACACGCAACCCAGCCGCGCGCGCCCGTTGCAAATCCAAAAGCGGTTTTGATGCAGCGAGCCGCTGCTGCTGCTCGAATCGTTGCGTCGGTGATCGCCTCGTACCGGATAATCGAACCGATTCACTCACGCGAATACGCCCACCTGATTGACTCCCATTGTTGCCGATCATTCATCGCTTCCGCCACCAATTGCGCCCGTCTCTCGAAACTTTCCTACTCTCTCGCGCGTTCCACACCTGTCTCCTGCCTTTACCTGACTCTCTCTTACTCCACCGTAACATGTTTGTCGCGATTCGAATTCAGATTCGTTCGCCTTCCTTTTTTCATTCCTTTATTCTTTTGTTTTCACAACGCTATCTGGCTTTTCTATCTCGTCTGTCGAGCTTCTTTTCACTTTCCGTTATCACTTTTCCTTTGTTTTTCTTCGAAGAAAAAAAGCGGATCGAAGCGTGAGTGTGTTATAGCCGCGACGAATCGATTCGATCTGAACGCGTCGAATTTAGTCGCAGATAAAGAGGATTTTTTGAAACGAAACGATATTTTGAATCTGACGAGTTGGATTTAAGGAGGATTAAGGAGTTTTTAGAATTCGATGGTAGCTTCGACTTTGGATAAACCGTGAATTAAATGGAGTAAATCGATCGTTTGATTATTCTCGCGAACTTGATACACGCTGTATTTAGGAGCAAGAGTTTTATTAAAAATATATTTCGCTACAAACCGCGTTGTTCAATTTCCGTATTCGGTTACCTGGTATTTTTGCTAATATCGTTCTAAAAACATTCCAGCAGATATTGCTAACAAAAGCTATTTTCTTATTCGCCGTAACCGGCTGGGATTTTTATTAATTTCTCGTTCAATTTATTTAGCAAACTGGCAACACACGCTGGGTAATTGCTCGGCTTCGAGAGTCCAACGTAATATTAAACGTTTATTCCATCAGACATGCAAACAAAATTTATTTAAGGGTGCAATCTCGTTGTCATCGATAACATTTCGTATTCGTATGCCCGGATTAATTTTTTAAATTTCACGTTTCACCCTCGCTGTTTACGTCGAACAATCGAGTACATTTAATTATCAATCCCGTATAATTTCATTGATATTATACGTACATTAACCCACCAATTTACGATACAATTACTTTTCGTCTGTATTAACGCTATTTAAGGAACGAATTACAAAGATCCAATCTCCTTCAACATTTAGCTGCAACGAGTTTCACACCCACCCGTACGCCCAAACATTTCTCCGTCATTCTGTCTCTCGGAAATGCACAGGAATCTCGCAAACGCTCACGGAATCCCGACTTCCAAACGTAAAAGTTCCACTCGACGTTTAAAAACCCTTTCTCGGTTCAACCCGAGACATTTCACCGAAGCGCCTGCACGCTGCAGCTCTCTTACTTACGAATTACCTAATCACGTAGACGACGATTGCGCGCAAATACACTTTTATCGAAGAGTCGATCCTCGTGCATCGCCCCAAGCCGCGAAGTTGAAGAACGAGTCGCCTGCGAGGCCACTTCCAAGCTCCGTGTTACTCTTCGTGTCGGCAACAATCGCTGTGATACACAACGCGCGCTACGTACGTTCGCCGCGAGAAAAAGACAAATTAACGAGACAGCGAAAAGATGGAAGAGACGCGTGATCACGAGGGTCCTCGCGTGCGCATACGTGCACATGAAATTCTCGCCAGAATTACTTCGTCCCCACGAGCATAATTGCTCGGCGAACGCAAGAGCGTCGCGCTGAATGTTAAAAAGAATCAGTTGGCGAACGTTTGATTTCTTCGACCATTTGCATACCAGATGCGCCGGTTATTCCTAGCTGGATTATTCGCGAGTCTTTTGATTAACCGTTTGAGCAGCGAGAACCGTCGTTAAGAGCGGATTTATTCGATCAGGATGATACATCTCGTATGGTCTAATAGGAAATATGTGGAGTTGGAAGTTATCGTTGAAATTTTAAATAAGCATCGGTCACGCGGAATGCTCAACTCTGTATACTCTAGCGACCGATGCTTTTAACTGCGATTTATCTTAATATAATGATAAATGTTTTAGTAGATCAGGCGCATTTCATCGTCGATCCTCGTGATGCTAATTGTTGGAATACAACGATATCAATCGCATGCGGATAAGGTGTTTGATCATACGGATTCTTCCGCTCGTTGCCCAGCGTCATCCCCACTAGCGTGCGGTCGTGAGATGCACCACGGCAGTTAGCACGTGCATGCTTTTTCAAAAACGCCGGAAGAAACGTGAGGATATGGACGGAACATTCTAGATGGGCACGCCGAGAAGCTACTAGAAGGTTCTGTGCCACATGTGACGCCACACAGACACCCACACAGGTCACACTCATTACTGCATAGAGAGTGGGGCTCTAAACCTTTTCAAGGGCCATGGGCCAGTTAGTCTGTGAATAACTAGCCAACTGTCTACATTCGAGAACGCACATTTATAATTCTTAAAATAAGTCTCTAATAAATATCACATTGTATTATTTCAACACAAACATTGTGTCTTCCACAGAATACTAATCCTAATTCTAAGATTAAATTCTAACACTAATAACAAAATTCGTCTGAAATGGTAGTTTTTAGGACAATAGGGGAATCGTTATAATTTTTCTGACAGCGTTGAGATCATAGTGGGCTTGCTCGTTTAGCAAGTTACGATTAAGCTATATTTAATTTAAACTCGAATCTATTAAAGTTTGTTCTATCACATCGTTGTGTGGATTTCTGAAAGAAAGACATCGGGAAGGTTATTAACATAATCCTGCGGAATCGTTTACACCGAGACTAAGAGCTGGCTAGATGAGTATTAAGTATGACGATGGACTCGCGAGTGTCCTAGCGAAATTCCGCGTACCGCAAACGGGATGAGGCGGAGAAGCAGCGACTGGAATCCGTGTAAAATCGATCACGTTGAGGGTATTATAATGGGGGCGAGCCACTCCGTCCGGAATGGAGCAGATTATTCTTGTTTACAGGGCCACCGCTTTTACGCGGCCGCCATACGAATTACGATGATGCTAGTAACGATGCCACCGCCTTCCGCGAGTATCAAAGATTTTTCAAGATTCTTAGCTCGTTGGGAAGTCGAGCGAGGATGGCTGTACGCTTAAAAGTCTCTCCTCTAGTCGATTGAAATTTATGGGCCGAGTTTTTAGCCAAGGAATCTCGAATTAGAGGATTATTCGTCCGACTTCCTCCGACCAAAGACCTGTTGAAGTATTCGATCGACCTGCTTTGTTCGAACCAGTGTCACGTCGAAAGTAAAATTTGCATTTGCGCGATCCTTGGGAAATCGTGATCGTTACCGAACCGACAAAAAATATTCCTGTTTCTTTCGCGTCTACTCGTCTATTTGCTAGAATTATATGAAACATTTTGGTCGCTGAAATAAGTCGTTTTGCAAAATGTAGAATGGCAATCGTGTTCATCTGGCGCGATAATACTCTGACGAAACCGTACAATTGCACGAGTAGAAAGCAGATTAATTAACGCGACGGATTCGATTCCCACGGGATTCAAAGAAAGGAAAAGGAAGTTGGATACTGTTCTTGTAAGTCCGAGGAAGTTAAGTCCTGGAAATAATATTACCGGGCGAGTTATCTTCGGGTCGAAACGCTGGAAAGGAAGTTCCTCGTTGTCCCTGGCGAGAAATTAACGAATTTATCCGCGTTCGGCGGAATTCATCGGTGTACTGCTTTTTGTTGTAACAGGTTGCAAAGGAAAACGTTCTATCTGCCTGGTCCCGAACGACTTGCGCAATTCCAGCGTCTAAGTATTAAGCAAGTAAGCCTGTTCCCAACCGTTTTACCCCGCAGGCATTCGTATCGGAGAATTCTCTTGCGGAAAAGTCCCCTTTGGCCAGCCAGCAGTATTCAGTGATGCAGGTATTCGAGCACGGAAGACGGGAGGATAGGAAATTCCAAAGCTCGTTCCGGCTTCGTTCTTTTAACGCGTCGCGTGGGATCGCGCGTCTGTGAAATCGCGAAAGGAATTCCAGATCATCGCGTGTCTAGGCGAATCCCTTTTGCCGCTCCTTTACAAATCCTTCGAATTTATGCCCACAATCAAATATTAAATTTCATCGATCGACCTACGCGTTTCCAATTTCCATTGTATTTAGAACGTAATGGGAAAAATGCTTCGATGTGTGACGGATGTCGCGTAAATAATTGCCGAGATATTTCTCGTGAAATCGGTAGCGATATTTGCGAAAAATCCTACGATGCGAAGTTAAACGTCTCTTTCAGCTGTCCAGTCGATATCGTTTATCGCGTAGGATGAGCCGAAAAATAGGATACATTTCCGATCCGTGTTTACCGTGTGCGTGAAATTTTTGTAATTGCCAATTTATAGATACATTCGTGCAATTCGTTTAATTTACACGTTCGTTCGAGGTGAAAACAGTCGGTGTTTTCGAGTCATTAATTTCGCAAGTAAAACTACGGATCGTATCTTCATTATCGCGTTGCATCGACCAATTAATTGCAATAATCTCGCTAATAAACCCGATAAACGAACTTCCACTTACATAAATTAGTCGATGTAACTTATTCAATCAATAATCCAATTTATCGGCAATTGTGCTGGACGAAATTTCTGCTAATAAGACCAAAGACAGCTAGGTTAACATTAACGAAATAATTTCCATCGGATCTGCTCGTTCATCGAATCGATAGAAACATTTACGCTTCGAACATCGATCTAACCGAGAATCGCCCGTAACTTGACCGCTTCTAAGCGTGACTTTTAGGCTAATGGCTTCCAGTTTTAGGCAACTCTGATTGACAACTGATTGCTAACTAACTGACTAACAAACTGACCACCAACTTGCCAAGGAATCACGGCCTGCTATTCGCCGTTTCCCTTAGCACGACTTTCCCAGTGCCGCGACACTGTTCGCCCTTTGTTCTGCGGTGAACGGAAGTTGGAAACAATGCTGAGTTTCACGCAGTTTCTGACTTCCCAGTTAGATTCACCGATTCCCGACCACCATTAAACAAAACGTTTTTATTCTACGCTTGGGAAATTGTAAGTTTTACAAATTCCACAAACTTGTAAACTTTAAGCGATAAATTCTACCTCTTTTTTTCCCGTAGAATCATCTTCGCTCGTTGAACAGAAGGAAGATAGAGGATCCGTAATCTTTTCCCCTTGCGATTAAATTTCTATGCGTTCGTTTTACCGCAGTTTATCCCGATTAATTCTCCAAGCGGTAATTAAATCTCAAAAGTCGAGATAAGCGCTCGAGTATGTCTTTTTTTTCTTCTTTTTTTTTTTAAGTGTTTTAACCGTTTGTATCGGTATTAGGAAACCGACCATCTTGGATGGACATTTTGGTTTGAACAAAGCCATCCAATTAACCGCAATATGTCGGTCAGGTCTCGCAAGGTGAAACCAATCGGTGGCATATAATATAATATAACAGACGGCGCGGCGATACACGCGTCGGCCGCATGCGGTAACGAACAATGTCTCGGAGGGCCACGTTGTCTCATTAATCAGGGCAATCTCTCGGCACAATATTGAAAATTCCATTGTACAGCCGTGCGGCGTCGCGCAGCCTCGGTCGACGACGCGACGCGATTTCAAGTATTTGCAAAAGGAGCAACCGGATATCCCTCGTCTCTGGCCTTTTCGTGCCGCTGGAGAGGCACTCAAATGCCTGCACATATACACACACACACACATCGATGTGTACGCGTAGACGCATCGGTGTACCGTCTCCTTTGTTCGCATCTCTTCTTATCCTCTTGCCTTTATTCCTAACGCCCTTTGCTCGTCTTGGAACGCAGAACGAAAGACGCTATCTACGTAGCCTTCTCTTTCACTAACCTTCGAGACTCGCTCGTCGCTCATAATGGGTCACTCTTGGAACGACGTAATTGCTATCAATTTATATCGAGAGCGTAGAAAGAGCGCTAGGAAGATACAGGTGCCAACAGCCGGCTCCTGATAATCCTTTAAACGCGACTCAAAGATCGATGAAACGCTGACCGGTCTTTCGTTCGCCGAGCGAAGCAGCTAGCTACGGAGCCGGCCAGTCTGCAGAGATTCGATTTGTCAACGACCGCTGCCAACGAACGGCTATTAATTACGACATAATGCGACTAGAATGGATCGGTACGAGTGCGGTATCGTTTTTAGAAATGTAATATTCCAGCGATTAGCGAAGGTGATTATTCTTTGAGCTGTAACGATGGAAGAAAGGGAGGTTGAGTGCGCGCGGTTGACGAGTGATTAGCGAGTTATACGTTTTGTGGCAACAGCTTTATGCGTAATATAACCAGCAGTAATGCCAACTGTCTGACTAGTAAATTTTAGATTTCGCGAACATTATAGGTTATTATGTAGCAAGTATTCGCCGAACTTGCTCGATAATAACGTGGCAATGTTGCAAAGCAATTAGGAACTCGGTGTAACAATTGTGGGATTTGCGACAATCTCCTTAGAGCTGGCTCGAAACGCTCTGACAATTCAAAAGCTTGTAAAACGATACGCAACGCACCGTGCAAAGCTTATGTCGTTCGTTCCGCTCCAATTATCAAAAGCGCAATGCATTTGCACGTGACGAACGAAGAGAATGGCGACGGGCGCCTCTCGACATCGCATCGGAAACGTACACGGTATCCGTAATTCCGGGGTCTGACGTGCCACACAGGCGTCGCTGATATTTCCATCGCGCGACAGAAGGAGTATACATTAAACGTGTGTTATGCAAATTTTTCGACCCATTAAACGTCCGTTTCGTCGTCGCCGCCGCTCCTCCGCCATCCCATCATTTCGCATCTCTCCATTAGTTACAGGGGCCTCGAATGGCGTCGCATGAGCACGTCCGATAACGCGACCATTACGCTCTCTCGTAATATTTCCTCGCGTCCTGTATCGTCCTATCGTGCCGATTATTATCGGATCCAACCGCGTCGTGTCATACATTTTTCGCCGTTTTCGGCAAGAGTTCTCGCAAAGACGGATTTCGCTCCTCGATATACGCTGCACTGTACTGTACTGTAATAACGCGAGAGAATTGATTTGAGGATTTCCAGATCGATCGATATCGCACACGGATAAGATCGTTCGTCACAGTCGAAGAAAATAAAAGCAAGAGAGGAAATGGATCGTATTTGGTTAAATTTAGCGGATTGTTAGCAAGCTACTATTTGTCGTGATAACGCGGACGATTCGTCGAAGCGTTAATGATCGAATTACTTTGAAACTATATTTAAAAATTATCCATCTTCTCGTTTGAAATTTTCCATATAACCTATCTTTCTACGCTCCGACCTACATTTCTAGCGCAACGCTGGGAAACTTTTTTCCAACAAATAGATTGCACGTTTATATCTTTCGTAGTTTCACGGATTTAACGGAGCATACTGCATATAAATATATTAGTTTCGTTCTTTCGTCTCTCGTCCTTGTTCTGCGTATAGAAACCGTATGGCATACGCGATTCTCGTCAATTAAACGAATTACCCATTTCTGGGAACAAATGATTTATCACTTTACACGGGTCTAATAAATTTCCCGTTAATTCTCGCGTAGGAACGTTTCTGTGGTAGCAAAAAAGAAACGCGAACCCGATGCTCCCCCGACCATACTCGCGCTCTCTGTCTCTTCTCGCCCTTTTTATTTTTCATTCTCTGTCTTTCGTTCGGTGGTTTTTTCGACGCCGGATAAAATCGTTCGACGAATTTGCAAACGAAAGAAAGAAACGATGATCGTTTCGGGGCTCTTTTAACGGGATAGATATGGCCGCCTTCGCAGCACGACAAACCGCTACCAGCCAGCCGCAGGATCGTTCTCTTGAAACAATTGAGCCTCTCTTAATTTATCACCTCGCCAGAATGCAACGAATTCCACGGGAAATAAATTATCGTAGATGGCCGGGGCCCGGGAATTCGGGAAGGCAAGTAATTCACCGACGAATTTGTTCTGCCGCTACCTATCTAACCCCTGGTTCCCTCTTGGTTCCTACTTTGCCTCCTCGTCGAGTTGCCACACGCTCCGAGAAAATAACGTGCTCGCGTTAAATCATATTTATAACTACGATACTCTTTAAAAGCGTTCCTTAATCTTGCTCCTGTAATCTGTGGGAAATAAAATACATCGGGAGAATAAATAAAATATTAAGCCACCCGTGGAATTCCGTTTGGATCTGATGGCTCAACGTATCGCGTCATATTTACGTCCACTGAAATTATATAAAATTTCCTACTTTAACAAATATCTTTTCTAGTCACGCCAATGTTTCGTATTTCCTGACATCCGAGAGACAACGATATGCAACGGGATATTGTTCCAATTTGAGCGAAACAATTCGGGTTGGGAAGGATTATATTGGGTTGGCAAGCAAATGATCGCGGATTCTGTCATTAAGTGGTAATGACAAAATCTCGATCCAATAGAACAAGGAGAGCATCGGTTGTTTTCGATTTTTGAAATGAAATTTCGAGGGTGGAAGATCGGCGTACTCGATAAGGGAAACGATGATAAATAAGAATAAAGCGTCGGCGTATGATATTATTTGAAAAAGGAGAATCTGGGTCAAGGGGATGAGCATAAAGTATTATAGAGAAAGTTATAAGTTAAGCTTATTACTCAACAGTATAATGTAATCCTTAATTGCAAAATGTACCTTGTTACACTTTATCGGCTTCTTAATCAGCTTTCCCTCGATGTTCCCTATACTTATCGTCCGAAGATTCTTTAGTTTGCCATCGCGCTTAATCACTTTAAATTGTATTATGTGTATCGATATAACAGACGATTGTGTGGAAGCTGGAAGAAGCGAATGAAAAATGTATTCGTGGCACAGTCGCTTTCTTTTGCGGAAATCGAACAGGTATCTATTAGGTTGTCCGAAATGTTTCTTTCGTTTCTTAAGGAGATAATAGGCGAACGACAATTTCTGTTTTATATTATTTCATTGAATTAGGTACGATCCATTTCGTTCTATTTCTATTATCACGTTCGTGTATAATTCAATAAAACAATATAAAAGAAAAAGTATTATGCGTCTATTGTTTTCTCATAAAACGAAAGAAACTTTTCGGACAACCTAATAGGTTACAAAGTAATTGCTATCCCATTCATAGATGACGACAACGTTATATTTGAGAAACTTGGAAAGTTTGAAAAAGGATTATGAAACATCGATGGAACGGAACGTATTCCGTGCCAATTAAACCAACTCTGATCCACAAACCGTCAAACTTGAAAATGGCACGAACAGTGGAAACAGCAGGAAAACTCGACACAGATTGGCAGCAACGTATTTAGAAAAAAAGAACCACGCAGATGTTTTATAACAAAGTTACAACGAAAATACCAAAATTATAAACGAGTGGATTCTCGTCCCATCGGATAGCCGCGTTTACCGAAGTTCTCGTTCAGTATCGTCCGTGTTTCTTTTAAATACAAAATTCGCATCGTTTCCATGCAAAACTAAGCGAAAAGCCGGTTATCTTTGCTGTAACTTTGTAATAAAGCGTCTACGACTCCACGTTTAACATGCAATTCTTATTTTCAATCGTACAACATACCGATACCGTTTGGCGGAACAAAATGGAACATCCTGTAGATGATTACAACGAGTTACGCGTAATTATTTTTCTATCCGAATGAAAATCGATATGAATTTTATCGAGAATACCTGTACGCGTATCGTTGGTAACATTAAACCAAGGGAATAAAAAATTCGTCGTTTTGACGGGTTTGATAATTTCAAAGTAAAAACCTCGAAGCTTCTATACTACGTACTATTCAGGAATTTCAATATACAAAATCTTGGCGCGAAATTTTTTAAAACAACTATCGCGAGGAAGGATGTTCTTAGCTTTGGTCGAAGATCAAACGTTATCACCCAGTCATCGAGTCAACGAATCGAGTCCTTTAAGCCTGACTGGCGAAGCGACAAGATCTACGGTATTACAACTGATCCGCTTATCATTCCCGGATCTCCCTTCCTCCGTACTCTCTCCGGGCTTCGTTTCTAGATCCGAAGGTTCTATTCTATTCGCACTTTAGCCCCTTCATTCCTATTTGTTCTCTCGTTCATAATGCGCGCGAACGAACGGAACGGAGCAATGCACAAGAGACTGACGGGCAAAGAGAGAGAGAGAGAGAGAGCATAGTGACGAGAGGAATAAGAGAAGGAAAAAAGAAGAGAAAGAGACTCGCCTCTCGGCCGTAAAAGGTTTATTGGAAAAATGAAATGACGTCGGGCAATCACGACTCATCGCTACGATATAAGCATTTTATCCTTTCGATAAAGTGTGCTGGCGCAAAGGAAAGACAGAAAGGTAGAACAACTATAGCAGCGTGGCGCGAAGGAATTACTCGTAACTTTCGTAATATGTAATATTGCGTCTTACCGTGTAAGAGTTGTCGCGCGAGCGAATGAAAATCGTGTAATATCGTTAAAGTTTATGCATCGTAGAGGAGGTCGCGCGATTCCACGTCAGTCTTCGTTCCCCGCCTCTTCGTACCGTCGACGAGTCTGCGGAATGCTGGAAAGAACGCGCTCGTATTCAACGATGTTAAATATCAAAGATCGTCCTTTGGCGAAGTGCTTGGATCGGTGATACGGTAAAATTCCTTTAAATTGTTACGGTCACCGGAGAAGTTAATAATATGGCTAGGAAAATAAAGTAGATATTTGCGCGATACTTGCGAACAAATTGGCGATAAAATTCCGCGAGATTCGACGATGTATTATTTTTAAGCACGGTAATCGGTCCGCCTCCAACGAGGCAAAGCGTCGCGGACGTTTCATAATCGCCGTAACGAAACCCAGGACTGACTTAAACGCCATCGCCGTAATGTACGGTATATTGTATGG